TTTCTAAAATGTTGATGTTTAATCATCTGAATGACTAACTTAAAATAAATATTTAATATTTAATATTGTAAAACACTGTACTGATCTTTTAGGTGCTTGGCACCAACAGTTTAATACAGGGTGGTTAAACTTGAGGCATGCACAGCCCCGTGCTTCACAGGGCCCGAAGTGTTGCTTGCTGCAGAGCGCATGCGAATATTGCCAATGACTAAGCATGCCGATTACATTTGGAATGATGGGAAGTTTTACCTTTGTTCACAGATCACAGGAGGTGTTGAAAACGCTGTCCCTATACGTGTAAATATCTTATGAAATTGTTCTGTTAAAGGCACACGTACAAAAAAACTTCTTGCACTTACAGCACACCAGACACCAACTTTCACTGAATGGCTTCAGCAATTGTGTTGCCGTTCTTGCACTAAACTTTGACACCCCAGTCTCTTGAGCTAGATGTTTCAGTGATTATCTAGGTGTATGTTCATGTCTGGCCGCTATGTCATCTAACTTCTCCCAAGTAAGCACTCTGCGCTTATTTTGTTTCTTGTCTGTTAAGAGTCCTGTTGTTCTAAGTTTATTCACCAAATTATGAACTTTTTGTCTGCTGGGAACTCTTTCATCAAGAAATTTTCGCCAACACTTACCAGCAGATCGTATTTCATGTAGGTATCATATAAAAAAAAGTTACTCTAAAGTGTAGTGAACCATGTTGTACCACACTGCACTGTTTAACTGGGAACTAATGGATCATGACACTGACAACTACTGCCTACTGCTGATACATCATAACCAAACTCCCATGCATGAAGTCTTCAAGTTAATTATTTTCCTTCATTCCAAATGTTGTCGGCCATCAAGCATGCTGAGCCATCGGCAAAACTCGAATGCGCCACGCAGCACACCAGTCGCTGCGAACTCTCCCCCCCCCCAGTGCATTGCATTCCATGGATCCAATGTTAGTCAAAATGACTGTAGGATGTGGAATAAACCTGATTAAACTTCTTCCTATATGTACCTTCTTCGATGTACATTATCTCTGTATCGATCTTGCACTGCATTTACACAGCGCACGGGACACCATCACAAGACATACGACCAGGACAATGTACAAAAACCTTGGAAGGGCTCAGAATGCAACAATGGCATAAGGGACCAAGGCCTAAGACAGTAGCTACGAGGCAGCAAGCGAATAAAGAACCAGGCACAAGACGACAGCTGATTCTTAAGATCGAGAGGACATCACAGGAGTTCGACCGGAAGGCTTTCGAACTGAAGTTCGTGAAGCGAGCAACTGGGATGACCACCAAGTTGCAGAACATGAGTAACTGGACCTTATGGAGGGGTCGGCCCCCTCCACAACAGAAAATCAAGGACTGGGCATTGTGGACGGATCAATCCACTGCAAAATGGAAGAAATACCTACTAGCAGTGTTAGCGTAAGAAGAACCGGGTATGTGAGAGCACTGGCCACTCCACGAGTTATGGCCCACCATGGGAGAGAGAAAAATGAGGAAAACCTTTGGATGATGGTGAGAACCTGGACTAAATGGAACTTATAAGGGAACCGCTTGGGAGAAGCTGGCATGAAGGAGGGAGCGATGGTAGAATCCGCCCATAAAAAAAAATGGGAAAGAAGGTGAGATGAAACCAAGTGCAGCCCTCGGGAGAACGAAAGGTAGTGCACCGATAAGCTATTCAGGATGAAGAGCCTTAAGGAGGGAGCAATGTAACAGATTTGCTCAAAATGTTTCTAGGCAACGGCTCAATAAACATGTTTCAACGTGCAACAGCGGAAGTTGTGTTTCAGTGGACGAATATTATAGCTCGTTGATAGGCAACAGTCAGAGCCAATGAACTTGCTGGCTACGAATCACGTGACTTGCCTTTTTGGTGTTGTTCATGCGGAGCCTATATAACAAAGACACAAGAAAACTGTGCAGGCGACAAGCAGAAGTCATACAAAATCATGAGAATGAACATGTTCGCGGTGAAACCAGACACAGAAAATATAAGAGGCTTAAACTTGGCAGTGGTCGAGCTTACGGCCATTCAAATGACTAAGCTGCCATTGTTGCATAAGATATGTAAGTTATGCATGATGTGCTCTGTGAAGCCTCTGCTGACATAGGACTTATGTGTAGTGCAAAAGGAAGAATTTTTAATAACATGTTATATGTGCGTTGACTAAAGGCCAAGCATATTCATAAGAGACAAACCCATCCTCTTGTCAGAGATGATGTTACATAAGGACTATTACTGCAAGGGTTCAGTTGAAAAAAGAAACTCTGGTCGTGGGCCTCAAGGGGCCTGATGCCAAGATGAACTGATCGGCAGTAAACCACCAGTCGTACAGTAACTCTGGCTTTGACTTTTGATTGCATTTAGTGATCTGAAGGAAACGTGTGTTGGACAAGGTGGTTTTTACGTATTTAACTTTACATAGTGTGATCACGCCAACTCCTGTTTGGCGAAAGTGCATCGGAGAAGGTTGCTGCCCAGACGCAGTTGTGCGCAGTGCGTGAGAAACAACAAAACAGATGGTGAATCTGAATGTACACCAAGATGTCAGACGTCACAGAACTGGCATTCCAGAAATACTGGAAATAGAAGCTGTCATCGCTGAAATTTCAATGTCATGACATAACGAACAAATACACAGAAGTAGTTTCTGTAATTCAGCAAGTATATAAAGTGCTTGGCGAAACTGAAATCCTTGCCAAATGCACACCGGAGTAGAAATATTCCTTGATTTTCTGTAACCACTGTGTCCCAATGAAGAGTCATGGAGGCTGCAATTGGATAAATCAAACACAGTTTTCCCTTCTTGTTTTAGTAAAGAACAACGCCGTTTTATGTGTTGTTCTACAGAAAACATTCCTCTATCAACCTTCTTGTGGAAAATGGAGCATGAGCAGGAACAGCGTGACACTAGTGCACTCAGGAAGAGTAAGAAGTAATCTCTATGGTCTCCTCGGCGGCCCGGGTCCGATCAAGTGGGATTTGTGGTGGACAAAGTGGCGCTAGGGCGGGTTTTCTCCGAGGACTTCGGATTCCTCTGCCAATCTTCATTCCACCAAATTCTCCATTATAATCACCCGGGGGCAGGTACAATAGGCCAATCAGTGGCCGCCGTACTGAGTGGGCCCAGTTGGACACCACCCCCCCCCACTCAGCCAATTTAAAAAAAATCTCCATGGTCTACTATGTTACCATGCTACAAAACATCATTGGATCATTTCGTGCACCACCCTGTAATTTCCTCCCGAATCAAGTTTTTATTTGTTACTGTCATTCCCAAATATCTGAACTGTGCCACATTCAAAATATCTCTTAGCTATCTTTATGTCATAATTTTGCCCTGCATTCTGGCGATGAGACAGCAACAATTACTTAGTTTTCTCTGTGTTCACTTCTAGACCAACCTCCTTAATTAAAGTTTCTGTGTTTGTCTTTATGGTACATATGTTATCTCTCAGTACATTCACATCATCAGCACAGACCAGCAGCTGACATGTCCCATCTGGTTTTCCTGGACCATCCTAATGGCATATTATAAAACAAAGTTGAAAAGCAGTGGCAATAAAGCAACATTTTCAGACAAATGTTTAGCTATACAGACTTTACAGTACGTTTCGTTTAAACCATTTCAATCAGCCTAACTAGTTTCATGGGTACCCCAATCTCTATGAGGATATAGTACAATACTTCCCGCCTAACTGAATCATAGGCTTTCTTGAAGTCTACGAATAGCTGATGTGTTGTCTCATTGTACTCCTATTCTTTCTCCAGTATCTGACGAAAGCAAAAGATCTGATCAGTAGTTGACCTTGTTACATCGAAACCCACACTGATGATCTCCAATAATTTCATCTATGTATGGACTTAAACTTGAGAGAATACTGGATAAAATTTTGTATGAAGTTGATAGCAGTGATATCCTACTATAATTACTAGTCAGTTTTATCACCCTTCTTGTGAACTGGTACAATAATATACTCCATCCACTGATCAGGCAATTTCTTCTTGTTCCATATAGAATTAATTAGCTTATGGCTCTTAGAACGTAATATTTCACCTCTTGCTTGAATTAGTTCTGCCAGAATTTGATCACTACCTGGTGATTTATACCTTTTCAACTTTGCAATAGCAATTTCAACCTAAAAATGAACTAGGATCAGGTACTAATGGCTCAGTTACATGTATTTCTATCTGCCTAACTTCACTGACCCTATGTACATTCAAAATTCAAAGAAGCAATTCTTCCCCCTATTCAAGATGTTGTGGGAATCTGCAATCAGATCATCAATCTCATCTTTCACCAAGTTACTTTTAGGTTGGTAACCCGTCTTAAATTAATTTATTCTTCTGTACAGGTCTCTAATGTACTTGCTCATACTGTTTGTTGCAAGCTCATCAATTATATATTTCAGGTATTCCCTCTTTTATTCCTGAAATGTCTGCTGGCTTCATGTCTTATACTGTTCAGATTATCCCCATTAATTTTGCTTGGATGCTATAAACACTGCAATTTGCCTTGTTCCCTTTGGTCTACTAATTCTGAGCATCCATCATCGAACACTGGCTTATACTTCTTCAATTCATAATAACCTAGACTCTCTGTGGCTGAAATTTTTATATTCTCTCCAATAATTTCCCAAGCTCTATTAATGTCCACCTCACTGTCTAAGTTTACCTAAGCTGCAAACCTATTTGAGATTTAAATATGATACTGCTCTTTACACTTTACCTTGTTTAATTTCTTGAGATTGAACCTCTCCATATGAACTCTCTGCATTGTCAGTTTGCTCACTGCCAGTTTCTCCATAACTTATGCCACCACTAGATAATAGTCAGTATCACAGTCTGGTGCCCTGATTGAACAGACATCAAGTATACTTGAATGTTGTCTCATGTCTATCAAAATGTGGTCAATTTGGTTGCAAGTATTTTCATCAGGAGATATCCAAGTAAATTTATGAATATTCTGGTGTATCTATGACTCATAACATTTTGGGAGATATTTTATTTTCCATCAGTAACATACTTTTCACACAACAAATTACAGACGTTATTAACAACTGTTTCTGATACAACTCCAGCCAGAGGGAAGTCGCTGCTTCAGCACTGATTTCTATACACACCTTCATGGCAGCTGTCATTACACAATACATATGCTTCTAATTCTGTTGCAAACTAAGACCACAGATACCTATAAATACTTAAATATTCATTTTGAGAAGCAATTCTCAGCTACACAAATACAATTCAGTGATTTGGTAGATTTAAAACCAGCAGAATTTCCATTGTAGATTATCCACACACCAAGCATCCACATATCAGTCAGCAAGGAAAGAAACATTAGTGTTCATGGCAAAATCTGACCTTAAAGAGAGCTAATCAAGAGTCTTATTTGGAGATGAAATTTAATGGAAACTGCATGAAAAACTAAAATCAGTGTCATGAATGCTGCACTGTGACAACATAACAACTCACTTGGCACACTCCATAAGAAATTCCTTGAAGAAACGCATGTGACTGTTTCCCATGCACCTTATTTATGAGGTATAAACACTAATGAGTCTTCCTGTTCCCCAAACTAAAATGTATCCAAGAAGGAAAGCGATTTCAGAAAGTGTCAGAGATGTAACATTGGAAACGAACAACATTCCAAGGAAAAAAGGTATAAGTTACGTGGCAGATCACGTGGAATCATTCATACACCTAAACCAATATGGCCATAACTAAAGAAAATTACATTCTAATGGGTAGGTGTCTGATCTTTTTGTATTGCATATATGAATGCATGTGTACTAGCCACAAATGTAAATAATATCCAGCAAAAAGATAACTATAAACGTGGCATTTTTGTCAAAAGAAACTTTGGTTTCCAAACAGAGCAATAAAGCTCTGTAGCCACATTATTCTAGGTGTGTGCCTTGTACATGATGCTATTGGAAAGCTCCCAGACTGTTATTGTTATAACTGCCTTGGTGGAAGATGAGAGGGGAGCTGAGGTCACATTTCTGCAAGCCTACTGCATCCGTCTGCCAGGTGACACCGGGCTGTGAAAACGTACTGTATTTATACGAGTGCATCTCCAACCTTGTGTTTCATTTTGTCTGTGGCGGATGGCAAAACTGAGCAATGTGTCTGCATCAAGTTTTGCGTGAAGCTCAGTAAATCCTCCACCGAAATCCTCAAAATGCTTCGTAAGGATTTTGGAGAACATTCTTTAAGCTGGATAGTGGTATTTTAATGGCATTCATGTTTCAAGGCCGGTTGAGTGTCAGTTGAAGATGACCACAGTTCAGGGTGACCAAGCTCTAGTATCAATCATCAGAAGCACATTTCACTATCATTCATCACTGTAAGACTGGTCAGAAATATCGACAGAATCACAGTCGTCCTCTTCCAGTTCTAAATTCAGTGAAGAAAGTTTCTTCATGGCCTCTTCTTTGATTTTTTCAATATCTTCCACTGCTTCACCTAAAACAAATATTCTAATTAAAATGGCACATGTTGTATAGAGACTTAACTGTAGCTATTGATGAACACAGCATGTGACCAGCGAGTTACAGCCACAGACGCAGCTCTTTGACTTTTAATTGTTGCATGGGTCACACTCTGTATTAGAGCACAGTTAAAAGGCGTGAAGCAAATACTGACTGGTCTGCCTCATAATGCTTTATATAAAGAAGAGTTACAAGATGCACAATCTCAACAGTCATGAAGTTTAGGAGTATACACCTGAAATCATACACTATTTCATATGGATATGTTAGCCTCCCTTAACATACTATTTTCCAGTAGGATACTATGTCACTTCTCTTTATCTTTGAATCAGTAAGCAAATTTTTAACATCAGAGGCTGCTACATTATGCATCCAACTGAGAATTGTTTCCTTACAGAAAATATGGTTTCTGCTTGACACACATCCTTTCACACACAACCACTGTCTACATGATAGCAGTATGCTTGCTCATGCTTACAGTGTTCAACTTCCATTAGTGACTGAAGGAGAACATGGTTTTCAGTGCGAGATTTAAAGTTTTCATGGCAACAGTGACTCATATTCCAATGATCTCGGTTGTAACAACGTGAAATAAACTTCAACCCTGAAGATGAAGACAGTATGATACTCCCAAGACGATACCAGCCTACAAGTCTACATGGTGCCTAACCTAGAAAAACCGCAATATGTATAGGAAGCACAATTTCCAGTGTTTCAAACATGGTACGGAAGTGAGCTTCCAAAATCTAATTAAGCTTTGTGAAGGCCCAAAAATTGATTTACAAAGTGTAGGAGTTAAGGCTATGTGGAAACAGGTACAAATGTTTTACATATTGTAAGGTCATGAAACATGCATCACATCACAACAGTTACTACTTGTAATAGACACATTCAAGTTATATATGATTATATTTATTTCTGTTTACATTAAACAATGCATAAAAACATGTAGCTATTTACCATAATAATGTAATAATAATACATTCAGTATAGTAAATCCTTGATTTAAAGAACAAGATGCTTCGGTGCTGTCTCATTATCCTCCAGTTGATATGTGGGTACTTTCCTGTAATAGTCTGACTGATGTATAGTGTATGTGTACTTCAGTTGTGCTGTGAACATTATTCGTACATAGTATATAGATTATTCTACTGCACATTAAATTTGTATTGTGCTGTTTGTTCTGTTACATTTCTTTTTAATTAATACACCTGGACCAAAAATGAAAAAGGGCAAACTTTGGTGTAAAATATAAGTTAGAACTCATTTAAAAATCAAAATCAGGAGTATACATCACTTGTGTTTGTGAATAATATGGCTGTAAAGAAACAAACTGTGTCAGATATTTGCAAAGCAAAAGATAAGTTACAAAAAACTTGTTCAAATGCATGACTGATTTCTTTTGGCATTCACTTCCAGAGAACACCCAAGTCTATAAGCATGAAATGTCAAATAAAGGGAGGAAAATAGGTAAGGAGACAATCTCGGTGCTACTTCATGCAAATACTGATGGCTCACATTGATTATAATCAATAATTGGTGATAATTATCACCAATTACTGTTGATAAGTCACATCATCAAAGAGTCCTGAAAGATCGTATAAACCAACTACCAGCCATATATTATAATTTAAAAAAAGCACAGTTTACATATGACATTTTTCATGATTCGTCTTTTGAACATTTTCTGCCAGAAGTAAAAAGGTATCAAATTGAGGATCTGGGCATACCACCAAAAAAATGCAAAACCTCTTTTACTATTAGACAACATTCCTGCCCAAGATGGAAATTTTAGGTATATATTTTTGCCAAAAAATACAACAGCCATGATCCAGCCCTTGGATCAGTGGATAATTATTCAACAAAAAGGCTGTATAAGAAACGATTTTCTGGGGTGATGGTTGTGTCAGAAGATGGAAATGACAAAAGCGAAGACATGAGGGGCAACGTACATTATGAAATCTGAGGAATTACATCCCAAAATCATTTTCAACTTTGCAACAGTTTGGAAAAGAGTGAAGAGCCAAACACTTGAAAATGGTTCAGAAAGAAACCATTAAGGAACACAGATGCCGATTTACAATTTAAAGGTAGTGAGGTCAGTGATTTTCACCAGACAATTTAAAGCTGGCAACAAAGAAGTCACAGAACATGCTATTTGGCAGCTGCTAGAGAAAGACAAGGGTGATCCTGGATATCAAGTGATGACAGAGAGGGATATAGCTGAAGAAGTTATGGCTCATGATAAAATGGACAAGGAAAGCAAATGATGAGAAAGAAGAAGAGCTACCAACTTGCAAAATCTCATCATCTGTTCCTGAAGTTTTACTGTATTACTCTCACTTCTAAGCTTTCAGGGTGGTTATTATTTGTAAGCACCGAATTACCAAAAAACAACTGAAATTAGATGCTTTCTTCAACCTTATTAGCTGCCCAAAACCTGTCACCTCAACCTAACACCTTCTCAGCAAATGGCGTCAATCTCTCCAGGACTCCAGGATTCCTCTGCTTAATAGACTACATACTGTTCAGTTTTTCTTGTTAAAAGAGATATGGGTACTTTATAATTATTTTCATGTGCATCATATGTAATAACAAAGTTTGTTGTTTTTTGTGTAAATACAGGTTGCGTTACGCTTCAAAACAGACCTATATCACTTGTTATTTAATGGAACTTCGGTTTCATACAGACAATTGGTAATATCGGACACCCCCCTCCCTCAAATTAGCCTGTTAACCTTTAACATCCGAATGGCACATATATATGTCACAAGCAGCAACTGGAGTTGGCCGAATGGCACATATATGTGACGCAGGACACATGCACTCTTTGGGAGTGCTGACAGTTTGACCTTGGGTTTGAAACCAAAAGAAACCTACGTGAGGTCATGTCAGTGGTTCATTCCTTAGCTCTGAACAAACAAATCGTTTATCTCAGTCCTGGTTTCGAAACTATTTACATTTATGACCTAATCAGCCAAATATAGCCCCGCTTTGTTCTGAGAACTGAAGAGGAAATATTCGTCAGTGCTTCCAGAGCTTTCAAGGAAGTGTGATGTATTCAGGGATTGGTTTTCAGTGGCGAATTATCAGTTAGGAAGTCAGTGTTGGATTGTGCAATATTTCTTTTCACTTAAAAAGTTAGTGTCAGACTGTCACATATTTCTTTTTATATTATTTTGTGTCTCGGAAGAATTATAAACCCACTCAGCCAGTATTACTTTGTGAGTAAAAGGCATCTTCATCACTGTGACTTGCCATATCAGTGTCAGACTGGCACCTTTTCAACTACTATTACAATTATTATTTTTTATTGCTAGTGGGGTGGGACTAAGTCCCTTGTACTGCTGCCACTTCTGGCCTATTGTACCATACTATTACAGTTACTTTGCATCACTATTTTGTGAGTCTTTGTCAATCAATATAATTTATTCAATTTTGCTGGAAACCCCCCCCCCCCCAAGATGGAACTTCAAAAACGTGCCCGATATTCCAAACTTCTCGATGCAGAAGAACTGGAGGAAATATTGATGGAAGAGGAATCTGATGAAGAGTTAGAAGATATCAATGAGTTCATTGAACCTCGAGCAAATATGTTGTCGTCATCATCATCATCAAACAAGGCAGAGAAAACGGAAATTAGGTTTCATGATAGAAGACGTGGGGAATCGCCAAAGGTACTAGACTTCACTGGTCCTCCGAGTGGAATCAACAGATCAGCTGCTCCCAATATAAATGCACAGTCCTCTCCTTTTTCCCTTTTCATTCTGTTTTTCCAACAACCATTCCAAATTTTGTTACAAGAAACCAACAGATATTTCCACCAATTTATGGCATGCCAAGATGCTCCAGGCCCTTCTGTTCAACCGCCTGACGTTACAATTGAAGAGATATATAACTTTTTGGCAATAATTATTCAAATGGGCCATGATCAATGGGACACCCTCAAAGATTATTGGTCAAGAGATGAGCAATACTACACTCCATTCTACCGTAACACCATGGTACGAGACCGTTTCTTCCATATTTTGAGATTCCTACATTTTGAAAATAATGAAGCTCCTCCCAATCGAGATGACCCAGAGTATGATAGGCTCTGGAAAATTAGAAACATTTTTGACAATCTCAACAACAAATTTTGTGAACTTTACAATCCAGCAGAACGTCTTGCTGTTGATGAAGTCATAGTGTTGTTCAAAGGAAGAGTGATTTTTCGTCAGTATATTCCAAAGAAACGCAAAAG